AAAAAAAATTAATGTTGATATTTGAAAAAGTGGAGCAACCAGAATAAATTGACATGGAGTCAAAACAAATGTTTTTGAATGAGAAATAATTAATTTGACAATGGGTACGCTTAAAGCACGCAACAATTTTTCTGCGGCTTCCAATAATTTTATTCAAAATTTCAATAAAATACTATAGGGTTGAAATATTGCTTGCAATTTGTTGACTCAATTTGGATGAGTGAAATCACAGTGGTACAGTTTCTGGCTCAATAAAGTTGTAGAGAAATTAGTGAAATTTTCGGTGCACCCTGTACATTTTTTCTGGGAAATTTTTTAATTAAATAAATGGCCAGTAAAAAGATAACTATACTGTACAGTACATTTTTAGTTAAAAATTTAATCAAAGCAAATTTTCAACTTGTTTGAATTTTTAAAAAAATGTTTCTGAACTTCTGACACACAAGCACATGCTGATGGAAAAAATAATAATATGCATCAGGTGGAAGATGTGGACAGCACAGAATGCAAACTGTGTCTGATTGATGCAGAAGACTTCAGTGAGTGCCCAGTGAGCCAGTTTGAAGAGATCTGGATCCTCAGAGAACTGAACAAGGCAGTGATTGGTTTTGATTCCCCTGATGAGAATGTCAGGTTGTCTCCTCTGGGGGAATCCAGGTCTGGGTCCCCAGAGTCCTACAAAACCCAGATGAGACAAAGCACCAATAAGTTGACCAGGAATGGAGACAGTTCCATTTCACAGCAGGTATTGAATATGATTATCTCTATATTCCATCCTTTCATATTGTTGTTAATTTATGGTCAATTGAATTGCAGTAAAATCTTGTTACAACAAATCTCATTAAAACATAATTTTCAGGACAAAACACTTTTTTCAAAGTCCTGGTAGAAACCTTTATGGTACACATTATATAAAAATCTTGTTACAACAGACTTGCCAATTTCTGTATTACAAAATTTTTTGATGAACATCCTCTATCATATATGGACCCAGCAGTCTAAGGACCTTGCTGCATTTCATGTTTTTTTTTTACTGAGAAAGACCTGTCACATATTTAGTGGAAGCACAATAAAAATATGCTTGAGGAATTCTCACAAAAAGCTTTGTGAACAAAAAATGCTCTGCAAAATTCCCCCATAGTCAAATTTATTTCCCAGTCCCTTCAATTTCTACTCAAAGATATACTCAGAAAGGTTCAGGTGAATATACAGTGGCAGACCTCCCATGTAAGGGATTTTCGCCAAACAGACCAGCTCTGCAAGCAGTTTTTCCTCCCGCCCAACAGACTTCTTTTGGTTTAAAATTAGTGTTGAAAATTGAAATTTTTAATTTTTCATGTAATTGAATTCGTGTAAAGGACTTTTTGTCTAACAGACTCGTCCCCGCACGAATCAAGTCTGTTAGACGGGGGTTGACTGTACTTTTAAATATATATCTCTCTCTCTCCCTCTCTCTTTTCCTTAAAAATTAAAGAAATTGGAACTCAGGATGACCAGCAGAAAGGCAGTGAGCAGACTGCAAGACCTTGCACCAACTATGACCACATCCATGGACACAGAAACTGCTGCTTGCTTGGCAAAACTTGAACAAGAGGACCAAACTGTGGACAGTCTGTCCAGCATCAGGTCTTTGTCACCAAAAATTAGCATGGAAAAAGTGCAAACCAGCAAGCATACTGAAAGGACTTACAGTACTGAATCCAATTATTTGACATGTTGTGAGGACAGTGAAGAGTTCTTGAGTGCTGGCAGCAGTATTGACAATGCTGGTGGTGAGAAAAACTTGACACATTGTTTCTTACATGGGCAATGTACAGCATATTTCCATGATTTCTCAGCATTATTATATACAGTGAAACACATTTTTTCATCAGGTCTATATCAATTTTCTGAAGATTGAACTTGTTCACAGAAGTGAAATGTAAATAATAATGACAGAGTAAAAAAATTACACTTTTGCAATGCAGAGCCATCTATACTGTACAGTATAACAATATAGATAACAGTACATCACCACTTGACAAAAATGCATTAAAAACAATTTCTTGGTGAGAAAAATGTTCCTCCCTGCCATCATGAAATTCCTTTTGCCAAATGAAAGTCTTCAGATATATTGATGAATTAATTTCAATAAGTTTTTAGTACAGTATAAACTTTCAAGTTGATTCTGGTCAAGGCAAAAATTGTAGAAGAGAAAAAACAATGAAATCTTGCCTTTTCCAGGCACAAAAAAGAAAATGTGAGCATAAATCACAGGGATAAAGTTTTTCAATAGACAGTTTCAAAAATGTCTATAATACATTCTTTGTGAATTGCAGGAATGAACAATAGATTCAATCAAGAATGATGTAAAATCATGTTTTGTGTAACAAAAATCAGCCAAAAAGTGTTTTGCTGGTCAAGCAAAGGTCAACTGTATTATGATGGAATTTTGCTTTTAAAATATTGCTCAGAACTATATTCTCCAAGTTTGCTGCACTCTCACATTATAATATCATTTTCAGGTTCCAGGAAATTGGTTGCTATACAAGATCCTGAGATAAAATTTACAGAACAGAATAATTTACCAGAAAAAGATAACCTTCAAGCTTCTATACTAACATGCAACACCAAAGAATTTCAATGAATCTGATTCTTCCTTTAAATTTATCAAGAAATTGACAAGGATCCAGGGGATGATGATGAAGGACTTGCTGCATTCAAACTCCTGCAGGGCAGAACTTCTAGAAGAGGAACTTTTGCAGAGAGACTCAGAGAAGCTTTGGAAAGGCAAACTGAAGAAGAGAACAAGTTGCCAGATGATGACCAACCCATGTAAGTTCCCAGATATCAATTTATCTTTGATCTGAACAAAACAATTTTAGTTTCCTTTCAAAGATGGATTTTTAAAGCCATTGAGATTGACTTTGCTCACATGTTACATTTTGGTGTAACTATAGTTGTATATATTTTTGTCTGATGGTTTTATGAATTATTGGACTTTTTCACTCAATGTGTTGAATTTGGGCTATGCAATAATATGCATTATTCCAGCTTTGGCTGGATTGATTACATTATATTGTGCATAATTGGACCTTGCAAACTCATTTTTCAATTAAAAAAACTCATTTCAATTTTAGTTTCCCACAGAAATTTTTAAAATTCCCTTAAGTACAATGTATACAATATACTGTAGTAATTTGAACCTTCCCAACTCAGAATTCTTTGGGCCAAGCCTCCCTTTATTATTGAAAAATAGTGTTAATAACTTGGAGCTACATTTTTGAATGCACTGTATTTTCCATGAGGAAAAAAAACAGATGCAAATCATTCCTCTCATGCTCTAAGCTTCCCCAAGATATTAGAGATCTTATTCATGCATGTATGGCATCAGTAAAAATTTCCAATAATTTGACCAACAACTAATTCTCCTTGATTAAGCTCACCAAAAAGCCAAATTTGTAAACTTGAAAAATGGCAGAAACTGATATTAAAAACCTCTGTTATTTTGCAAAAAAAAAAAATTTATCTGGAATCACAGATTGCCCCTGGATCCTCCAGTGGATGAAGAGGTAGCAGATATCATCCAAGACAGGCGCCAGTGGCTGGAATCAAAAACTACAGAAAGCAGCATTTGCAACAATCACTCATCCTTGTCAAGAGGCAACAGCTCAAGATACAGCTTCAGTTCAGAATATGGCTCAGGTGATGTTTAAACAAACATGCATACATACATACATGCATACATACATACATACACACACATGTTCATAATTTGCCGCTTCTCTAAGTTGATATTATTTTTTTTGAATTTTTGCTGAATAGGGATGATGAAATTGAGTTGCTTGGACACTTTTGTATTTGGTCA